AGCACCTCCAATGGCAAGCACGAATTGTAGTGTATGTGTCAATTAAATAGATGGTCTTTCATCTACGTATAAGAAATAGATGTTCAAACATATAAAATATGGTTTATTTATTAACTTTATAACTTAGAAAATATAGATCACCATATCTAACATAACTTTATTCCTTCTCTCTCTTGCCATCTAAACTTCACGGTTGGAGACATTTTTTATTGAACTTCTTTCATATTTCTACAATTAACAACCCACGAAGATGCTCTAACCGTAATAATACCCCCACTAATATCGCCACGTGGACTAACGGGTCCAGATTCCGAGCCCATTGTCTCCGCTACCCGTTTCCCACGGGCAACGGGATTATATTCCGAATTTTATTTTTTAGTCGCGAATAAAATAAAAATGTTTACACGTGTGATAATCAAGGTGCTACAGCGCAGCACACATATAGCCCACGCTCTCAGGTGCACGGTTAGGATCAGCCCTCCCACATGATGGCATTCACCTGAGCCTCTCTAATTATATTATTTTTATTTATTGGTGTTATTTATTTTTCCCCCTTTTTGTGTATATTGTTTTTGTATTACTTACTTTATTTTATTATAAGTACGGTATGGAATCTAATTTTAAATAAATTTTTGTATTTTTCGTTCATATTATGTTGAGGTGCTCCTTGTTTCATTTATTCTCGATAATTGTATATTCTATAAGTGTTGTGTTCGTGACCCTTACAATATCACCATTGTTATCATAGTTATTCACTTATTCTCACACTTATCCTTCTACTACTGTATGTTTGTTTTATTTTCAGATTTCAATATCTTGATTTCGTGTCCGGTAATTTTCCTAGTCTAGAATATTCATTAGGAACTTTCAAGTGATACAAATTTTAAATTTGTCCTTTTTTTCTGATATACTTGTTTGAATTAAATTTTCAATTTTTAATTTATTTCAAGTCAAACAAACATGTACAACATAGTAATTTTTTTGCGGGACAAAAACTAATGTGAAAAGGTGAATTCACATGAAATCGTATAAAAGTGCTTAAGCCTATCAACGTGTAATTATTAATGTATGTCCTAACAACAGCTCAACAAATTAAATTTTCAAACGACAATTATTCATTTTTCTACTTGTCGCAATCAACCACATCGTAAACAACACGTAGGTTTGTTTTGGAATTTGTCCAAATGGCTCCAGTCCAATGTGTGGATTTGTTCCTTTCTTTCAACTTGTTGTCTCAATTTTTAATGATTGATGATGCTTCTAATTTGCTAAACATGTGCATAAACCAATGTCTTATACGCTAATTAATAACATAGTTAATACCTAAGTATTAACTAATATTGTGACAAGTACAACTTTTGGCATGTCGCAAAGAGCAAACTAATTAAAAAATAGAATTCCAGAACTTGTGTTGCTATTTTGCTTTATCAAATTAAGTCTCCCTAATAACTGCATTTGTACGTGGAAAGTTCGAGATTGGTTAGCTTGAAAAGCTGACAAAATTGATTGTGACATTTCACAAATCTTGCAGAGTTCAATCTTACGACTGAGGGCAATGCGGGTTTTGCCGTTGGATGTGGGTATATGTTGATCAACGGTACTACACTCACCAGTAAAAAGACGTTAATTTG